AGAAGGTTGAAGTGGGAGGGTTGCTTGAGGCTGGGAGGTTGAGGCTACAGTGAGCTATGCTCAGGCCACTGTACTCCAGCCTAGGCAACAAGAGTGAGACTCTATTTCAAAAAAAAAAAAAAAAAGATAAAAAAAGACTATACCAAATGTTGTTGAGGAAGTGGAGCAACTGGAACTCCTCATACACTGCTGGTGGGGATATAAAAAGGCATGACCACTTAGGGAAATAGTTTGGCCATTTTTCAGAAAATTAAACATATACATACTTACTATATGATCTAGCCATTCTCCACCTAGATATTTAGCGTAGGGAAATGAAAACATGTGCACAAAAGACTTGCACTTGAAGGTTCATAGCAGCTTTATTTGTAATAGCCAAAAACTGTAAACAACTCAATGTCCATCAAGAGTTGAATAAACGAATTTAGTACACCTATATGATGGAATAGTACTCAGCAATAGAAAGGAATGAACTGTTGATACATGCACCAATATGGATGAACCTAAAAATAATTATGCTGAGTGAAAGAAGCCAGACAAAAAAAGAGTACATGCTGTCTGCTTCCATATATAAAACTCTAGAAAATGCAAATTAATCTGACAGAAAACAGATGATTGGTTGCCTAGGAACAGGATGGGGTGGAGAGTGAGGAATGGACTACCAAGGGGCACAGGGAAGCTTTTGGGAATGACAGACATATTCATTATCTTGACTGTAACAATGGTTTTATGGGTGTATGTATGTCAGAACTCATAAAATTGTATTTTTCAAATATTTGCAGTTAATGGTATGCCAATTATAATTCAATAAAGACTTTCCAAACAAGGAAAAGGAAGAAGAAAAAACCTACACTGTACCATCCATAGACAACACCGGGTCATGGTTAGAACCTAGGCTCTGGAGGCTTCACTGGATTTGGATTCAGGCTCTATGACATGAATGACCTTGACCAAATCATGTGATCTATTTAAGCCTTGCTTTCTTCATCTGTAAAATGGGAGTAATGACAGTGTTAAGAAGATAAAATTATCTAGTATTTGTAAAGTACTTAGAACAGTAGCTAAAGAACAGTAAATGTTGGCTATCCTCCTCCTCCTCCTCCTCCTCCTCATCATCATCATCATCATCATCATTATTTTGTAAGGCTGCTGATTGAAATGCAAGGCACAGCTGGTAGAGATCAGCATTCAGGTGGTTGGTTAGAAGGGAGTATAAGAAATCAGGAATTCAAATCACACTGGCTTACCCAGAAGTCCCACCATCCCAAGGAATGATGTTTTCAGGCAAATTTCTGACTAGCCTGAGGCCAGTCCTCAGGTTTTGCAGGCTAGAATCTGAGAGAGAGAGAGAGAGAGAGAGAAAGAGAGAGAGAGAGAGAGAGAGAGAGAGAGAGAGAGACAGACAGACAGGTTTCTAGCTGACACCTTGTTGGTATGGCACCAGTAACATTAGAAAATTGACTCTCCTCTGTTTCTTTTGCCTGGAAGTAATTTCCTGGCATATCAGAGGGACCACCACTCCAAAGCTTTTCACTTAAACCACCCCTCATCCCCCATGGCTCACATTGGATCTAGGTGCCACCTGAGAGGACCAGTGCTTTCTGAGCTTCCTTCTGGTCTGGGTAATCACAGCACATCCTCAGTCCCTACCCCAGAATAGCAATAGGCAGCAGCAATGCTACCAGCAACTGGTCACTCATGACAAGGGCTGCAAAACCTGCAGAGAAAAATACAAGGCTTGGATGGAAACACTGGACTAATGGGGATGAAGGATGGGGAGGGGAGATGGTTGGTCAGAAATTGAAAGAGCTTTCTCCAGAATCCGTCGTAGGGCCAAGTAAGCGCAAATCCCAAAAACTGTGGAATCAGCAGTCAGTGCTGTAGTGGGATCCAGCTGGCCAGAAGTCTGGGCCCAGGCAATTTCATTATCTGGGAGAAATTCCTACAGGAGCAAGGAGGAGGGAAAAAGTGGGGAAAGGATCATTCCAATGCATAGCTGAGCTAGGCCAGTGACTGGATCTCTGAGAGGGCTTGCACCTGAGTCAATGGTGCTGCATGGTAGGAAGGTGTCTCGGCTTGAAAGAACCACCACAGCAAAGCATTGGGACTCCCAGGAGTTCATGGCATGGCTGGGCGTGGTGGCTCACGCCTGTAATCCCAGCACTTTGGGAGGCCAAGGCAGGTTGATCACTTGAGGTCAGGAGTTCGAGACCAGCCTGAAACACGGATAAATCCCATCTCTACTAAAAACACAAAAGTCAGCTGGGCGTGGTGGCATGCGCCTGTAATCCCAGCTACTCAGGAAGCTGAGGCAGGAAAATCACTTGAACCCGGGAGGCGGAGGTTGCAGTGACCCGAGATCGCACCACTGCACTCCAGCCTGGGCGACAAGAGCGAAACTCCATCTCAAAAAAAAAAAAAAAGAGAGAGTTCATGGCTCAAAGTCCAGCTCCACCACTACACTGGTTATGCTCCTGCTACAACCTCCATCCCTTGTCTACCCTGCTCTGTGCCCAAGTGACCGATCTCTTTAGAATGCATCACCCAGGTTGGCCTTGGGCTCTGGCTTCTGCGTGGGTTTGGCTATGGAAGGAATGCGAGGATGGGAGAGGCAGAGAAAAGAGAGGTAGGGGTTTTTTTTCCTTGTTCCCTCCTTGCTTTGGAGCCTGAATCCTGCAGTGGCTATGTCTCTGCTGAGACCTTTAGGTCTACCCTGTGGTACTGAATTCTCACCCTCATCTCTGGCTATACTCTTTTCATTCCTTGACCCGTTAGGCTTGGTGGTGATATAGGTAAAATGCACCTAAAGAGTTAATTTTTTTTTTTTTTTTTTTGAGGCGGAGTCTCGCCGCTCTGTCGCCCAGAGCTGGAGTGCCAGTGGCCAGATCTCAAGCGTCACTTGCAAGATCCGGCCCTCCTGGGGTCTTATATGCAATTCTCCTGCCTCAGGCCTCCCGGCAGTAGCTTGGACTACAGGCGCGCCCCAACTCGCCCGCTATTTATTGTATTTTTTTTTAGTAAGAGACGGGTTTCACCGTGTTTTAGGCCAGGATGGGTGACTCGATCTCCGACCTCGTCGATTCTGCGCGTCTCGCGCCTCCCAAAGATGTGGGCTGGGATTACGGCCTTGAGCCACCTTGCGCCCGCGGCCTTTTTTTTTTTTTTTTGAGGATGGAGCTTCTCACTCTGTTCACCCAGGCTGGGAAGTGCAGTGAGGCAATTTTGGCTTACTGGCAAACCTCTGTCCTTCCCGGGTTCAAGGCAATGTCTCCCATTCCTCAGCCTCCAAAGCTAGGCTGGGACTTACCGGTGCGCAACCACCATGCGCGTGTGGAATTTTTTGTATTTTTTAGTAAGAGACGGCGGTTTCACCATTTTGGCCAGGCTTGTTCTCGAAAAACTCCTGACCGCACAGTGATTCTGCCTGGCTTTGGCCTTCCTGGAAGTGCTAGATACAAGCGTGAGCCGACCATGCCCAGCCTGGAGAGTAGATATTAAGGATGAAACCTTTAGATGACCCGTGAAGGGAGCAACACCTCGAATGTGTTGTTCTGAGCTAGCGGAACGACTCCGTGCTGAGCTCGCGATCGTCCCGGAGATGTTGCTTTCGCTGTATGTATGACAAACATCTGAGCCCCCGTCCCATTCCGTCCCATGGAAGACAGACGTACAGAGGATTGAGGCCCTGAGTTTTGGGTTAAATGAAGGTTGTCAGGTGGAGGTTTTAGGGGTAGGGTGAAAATGCTATATAAACTGCATGATGTTAGCAGGTAGTCGCAATTTTCCTGCCCAGACCCCGCCACTGGGTCATGCAGTTATGTTGTCCATCCCGCAGCCGCTGGACCATTTCTATATGTAAGGCAGTTCTCCTGTCCAGCCCATTGTCAGGGGACTCTCTCCCATGTATGTAACCCCCTAATAAAACCTCCCGTCTTATTTGCTGGCTGGAGGTCTCTTCCGCCTCTTGAGCCTGGTGCCTCGCCTATTAAGCTTAATGGGGGGTTCGGCACAACAGGTGGTAAGAGCTTCCTGCTGTTGCTAGTCTGGGTGCCCCATCAGCTTTGTTTCCTAACCCTACCTCTGCCTAAGCAAAAACCTCATTAGAACCATTTAGTGGATTCTACTTCTGATCAGAACCTGCCTGACAGAGCCACTGGTTAACTATGCCATCTCCCGAGGTTATCAGTCTCTGGGCTCTGCTTCCTTATCTTAGATGGGGATACCTAAAAAGAAGTTGTGACCCAGGTGTGGTGGCTCACACCTGTAATCCCAGCTCTTTGGGAGGCCAAGGCGGGTGAATCACAAGGTCAGGAGTTCAAGACCAGCCTGACCAACATGGTGAAACTAAAAATACAAAAATTAGCCAGGCGTGGTTGTGCATGCCTGTAATCTCAGCTACTCAGGAGGCCGAGGCAGGAGAATTGCTTGAACCCGGGAGGCAGAGGTTACAGTGAGCCGAGATCACACCACTGCACTCCAGCCTGGGGGACAGAGCGAGACTCCATCTCAAAAAAAAAAAAAAAGTAGTTATGAGGACAGGACTGAATGAGATAAAGCAGGTAATGAGCCATGGCTTGTGTCCCAGGTGGGGCTCCAGCAGAGGGCCCTCAGGATGGTGATGCGAGGACTCTGTAGGTCTCCTAATTTCTTTCACCACCTCCCTGAGCCTTTCTTCCCCTTAGGTAAACCCAGTTCACTCAGGCTGAAGCGAGAGGAAGAACATTCCTCCAGCTCGTCGCCATGCAGGCCCGGGAGGTGGGAGGGCATTCTGCCAGTCCAGTATATCCACTTTGCTTCGGCAAAGGTCAGCCTGCCCAGAATAAGGAAGTACCCGCAGCCGGGAAAGGTAAATCCAAACCCGAAAGGACAGATAGTGAGCATTTGAATCAACACGGCCTGCAGCGTCCTTGCAGAGCCCTGTTTATGGGGCAATAAACCATTTAAATGACTCTGTGTTGGAACCCACAAGGACTCCTTGAAAGGCTTATCACAGATACTCCTAGTAGGGCTCCAGGACGTCTGGAGGGCCAGACTGGGGTGGCTTTTTGGCTTCTGCTTGGAGCTGCCGGTTCCCCTCCATCAGGAACGCCAGCCCCTGGAGAGGCTGCCATGAGGTGAGTACCCTGGGGAAGATCCCAGAGTTCAGGCTGGGCAGCCTGCATCATGGGTAGTAAAGGCCAAGTCTGTGTCTTCTGCCTTGTGGTGAGGAAGAGAGAAATTATTTCTTGCTTGGGGGTATTGGGAGGAAGGGCTATGTGGTGATAGAAGCATGAGCTGAGTGTGGTGGTGAGTGCCTGGAGTCCCTGCTATTCGGGAGGCCGAGGCAGGAGGATTGCTGGAGCCCAGGAACTTGAGGCTGTAATGTGCTATGATCACACCTGTGAATGGCTACTACACTCCAACCTAGCAACACAGACTCCATCTCTAAAATTAAAAAAAGCATGATGTAAACGGGAGTTTGAATCCTATGTTTGTTGCCTAACCTTGGCAAATGTACTTACGCTCTCTGTGACTCAGTTTTATCACCTGTAAGATGGGAATAATAGCAATAATATGCCTAATAGAGTTTTTGTGAGAATTAAATGAGATTATCTGCATACAATGGGCTTAGCAGAGGGCCTGGCACTTGGTAAGTGCTAAAAAAAAAAAAAAAATTGTCATTGTCAAGAATGTTATCACTATACCCATCTTTTTGCATCTGGTTACTCTTCTCCCAGCTCCAACAGAGCAATGGTCCCTGGGAGACTAAGAGATAATAACTCACTATCTACTTCTGGGAGGGTAATAAACACACCCAAGTAGCTCACATTAACCCAGACTCCGATCAGCTCTTGCAGATCAGCTCTCGCAGCCCGGCAGAGGCCAGAGGCTGCTGGAGGCAAAGGGCAGAAGCAGGGGAGAGCCAAGTGGCTGGGGCCAGATGAACTTCGAGCGGACGGACTGCAGAACAGTGCCAGTGGCTTCTTTGGGCAGCACTTTGGGTACTCTTTGACATAGGCTCGGAGAAGCTGGACATAACTAAACACCCCTTTATAGAAGGCAAAATAGTTGGAGGAGAGCCTCCATCTATGTTTTGAAAACCCGCCACCACTCCTAGGAAATACAATCTGCTGATGTTAGAAAGCAGATGTGTAGCAGAAGAGAGGGTAACACCAAGGGAACAGGCCAGCTGGGCCCCAAGAGGGTTCCCAAGGCCATAGCATGCCTTGGTGAATTCTTCTAGGTCTGGGACTATCCTGTATCAGGTTCCAGAATTTAATGTGGTCAACAGGCTGAGGGTAGATTTCCCTGTTAGGGATAGACTAATATTAACGAAGATCATGAAACATTAATATGTAGACCAGAATACTAATTCTTTCTCTCCTTTTCTCGCTCTTTCTCTTCCTCTCTCTCTTTTCCTTATATTTACCGAATACCTACTATGTGCTAGGTAGCTATAAATAAAAGTGTCTACCCTAATAGAGCATGCATTCTAGTTGGGGAGATTAAAACATGGCCATCTATGTAAATAACAGCAGAGAATGATTAGCACCAGGAAGGCCACGCAGCAGGGGTAGGCAGGGCTTGTGAGGAAGGGTCACACTCGGCCAAGGTAAGGCCTCTCTGAGGCCTTTGAGCCAGGATGGAGGAAGGTATTCCAGGCAAGCCGTCTTGTGAAACAACTGCCCAGCAGCCCGGGATCCCAGGCCTCTGGGAGTCTGCACACCTTTTCCTGGCAGGCTCCCAGTGCAGGGAGATGAGCTATAGTCAGAACAAGGACCCAAGCAAGCAAGGAATTAATCTCAGGTACTGACTGGTCCATGGAGGTCTGCAGTGGCCTCTCACCAGCCCAGCTCTCACCCTGCCCAAGGCCAGGATGTTTGCGGATCTAGGCTGCTCCCCACAGTAGTGCTGGAGGGGCTGTCCCATTGTCCCTTCATCTACACATCCTTTCCCCAGATTAGTTAATGCAACTTAGTGGGCTGCCATTACGTTTTGCTTGGGTAAAATATCCAAATTGTTTAACCTCTCTGCACGTGTTTTCTCATCTACAAAATAAGGATGAGAGCTAGCTTGCAAGGCCCTGGGGTGGAGATGAAGATTCGGCGAAGAAGTTAAGTTACGTAAAGCTATCATGCTTATCTACAAAATAGCTGGCATTCCATAGACAGTTAGTTTTAATTGCTGTATTCATATTATATTGATTATTCTGCCCCAGCCTGTGAGCCGTGTTAATTCTTAGAGGAACAGCAATAGAGCATAGGAATGACTCATAGAACATGGGCTCTGAGCATACAAACAAGCTGTGTAACTCAAGTTATTTAAACTCTCTCTGCCTCATTTGCCTCATCTGCATACTGGGGTTACTAACAGACCCCACCTCATGGAGTTTGGGAGGATTAAATGGGTTCATCCATATAAAGCTGTTAGAACAGCGTCTGGTGCCTGGTAAGGGCCCAGATGTCCACTGCTGTCATGTACTGCAGTATATTGTTTCCAAAGATGGCTGCAACAATTCGTCCCATTGAAATATGAAGAGACAGAGTCTGTTTCCTTCCCCTTGAATCTTGGCTGGCGTATGACTTGTGGAAGAAGTGATGTTCTGGGACTTCTGGGCCATAAGAGTCGTTGTAGCTTCCATTTTTACCCTCTAGAAAACCAGCTTCCACATAAAGAAATCTGAGCTAACTTGCTAGAGAGCCCACATCGAGAGACTGAAACCCCAGAGGATGAGAAACTACTTGAAAAAGAGCGAAGGTACCCAGTGGACAGCCAGCACCCACCGCCAGATGTGAATGAGGCTGTCTTGCATTCCTAAGATGCTGCAGCTGACATGAGGTGAAGCAAAGATGCATGTCCTAGCTGAGCCTGGCCAAGCTCCTGACTCACGGAATCCTGAAAAATAAATGGTTGTCATTTTATGTCCTTACATATTGGAGTGGCTTGTTACACAGCAATAGGTTACTGAAATATATGTGTACAAACATACATATACACACATATAAAATACATAAATACATAACATACACACATATACACATGACTTCACCCATTATGTGTTGATTTTCTATTTTCATTCTCATAGGCTAACCTATGGCATCTTAGCATCTCTTTAACATCCTACCTATATAATCAACCAGAGGGAGTTAAGTCAAAGGGTAAAATAATCCAGAAACAATGAAAAGTCATAGTCTCTACTGCTGGGATGCTTACAGTTAAAATGACTAAGGTACCATGAAACATAGATTTTAAAGCCCTCACATTTGCATAAAGTTTTGGACTTTCAAGGAACTATCAGAAACCATATGATTTTCCTTCAAAGCATCTAAAAGCGAATAGTTAACACTTTGCTGAATATTTTTTAAGTGCCAGGCACTAATCTAAGCACTTTACATGTAATGCATAGTGTGGCAAGTTGTATTTTCTGCAGATGGCTGCCATGATATTTCCCATCCTACATGCTCTTCCTGCACCATGATGTTGGCACTCCACCCATCGAGTGGTGGGATCTATGTTCCCTCTTTTCGAACCTAGGTTGGGCTTTGTGACTGCATTGGCCGACAGAATATGTCAAAAGTGAAGCTATGTGACTTCCAAGGCTGGATCATAAAAATGCCATGCACTTCCGCCTAGCTCTCTTTTAGAAACTAGCCTCCATGCTGGGAGAAAGCACAAGTCACATAGAAAGACCACATTGTAGATGTTTTGGCTGACAACCAGCATCAACCACCACACGTGCGAGTGAGCAAGCCTTCGAGATGATTCTGGCTCTAGCCCCAGCCATTGTCTGACCACCATTGCATGAGAAACCCTGAACAAGAACCACCTACTTGGGTCCAGTCAATTCCCATTAAATGACTGTCATTGTTTTAAGTCACTGAATTTTGAGATGATTTTTTATACAGCAATAAATAACTGGGACACACGGTTACTTCAATGATCATTTAATTGCCTACATCCCCCTACCAAAGTGTAAGCTAAAAGAAAGTAGAAACTGAGTTTGTCTTATTTACAGCTGTGTCCCTAGGATCTAGTTTGAGTAGATTTCTGTTAATTTGTTAAATAAGGCCGGGCGTGGTGGCTCACGCCTGTAATCTTAGCACTTTGGGAGGCCAAGGTGGGCGGATTGCCTGAGCTCAGGAGTTTGTGACCAGCCTGGGCAACATGGTGAAATCCTGTCTCTACTAAAAATACAAAAATTAACTGGGCGTGGTGGCTCGCGCCTGTAGTCCCAGCTACTTGGGAGGCTGAGGCAGGAGAATTGCTTGAACCTGGGTAGTGGAGGTTATAGTGAGCTGAGATTGCGCCACTGTACTCCAGCCTGGGTTACAGAGTGAGGCTCCATCTCAAAAAAAAAAGAAAAAAAAAGAATTTGTTAAATGAATGAACATGGCATTGCTCTTATGAGCTGCTGGATAAGGTCAGTAAGGCAGGCATTCTTATTTTGTAGATAAGGAAAACTAAGCCCAGAGAGGTTAAGTGACTTGTCTGAAGTCACACATCCAATAGCTGTCAGAGGTAGCTTAATACCACCCACTGTGGGGATTAAGTTTCAATAGGAATTTCGGAGTGGACACATTCAAACCATAGCATGGTCCAAAGCAACAGGCTGGTCCCAGGAAGAGATCTCTGTTCCCAGAGCAAACTCTCTGAAGGGGAAGGCAGCTGCAACATTGATGAGAGAAGATGACATGACTCCTCCTGTCTTGGAAACAGATTGCAGACCAGCAGAGGGGAGAAATGTTCTCCATGTTCTCCTTTATCCCCTTTCTTCCAGCCTTCCCAAATTTGACAGTCTCCATTTTGTTACCAATGGAGGGAAAAATGATAACTAATATTTCTCTTGAATCTTGGCAACAGAGCTCAGGCTTTTATTAGCATGCAGTAAAAATGACATTAACCTCAATAACAAATAAATTAAATCCTGGTTGGCTCAGAGTTTGACATCTTGGCCTTTCTAAGTTAACTTACCAAGTGATTTACTTCCTTAGTGCCTTTAACCCGATATCCTCAGTAGCTGGCCTTCTTGTGGATGCCACTTATCTTACCTTATAGCTGTGTCCTTAGGATCTAGTGTGAGTACAAATCCCAGACAAACCTGAAAATGGGCTTTCGAAACAAGCCATAAGGAGTA